AGACTGACTGCTCAACAACCACCGGGGCTTTGGGGCCCAACCACTCTGGCAGCACTGAAGCCTCACGTGGCTGCTGAAGCCTTTGTGGCTGTGCTCCACAAAGACAGGCAGCGGGGAAGCCAGGCAACTGCTTTGTTTCTGAGAGCTACCTAGTGCTTCAGGAGCTGGAGAATAGAAGGTATTGATGGGTTGGTACCACAAGGAACTGTAAGCCTGGAAACACTGCTCCAAGTGTGGAAGACCCAGTACTAACTACAGACTCTCAGTTACCATGCATTAAGCATGTCTCTGTGCGGAGCCCACTGGAGGGCACCGCGTACTTTCCCCCGATAGTTCACAATCATCTTGAGTGGTAAGTAATAGGGTCCCCTGTTTACATAGTTGACTCCTGGACAACATGGGTTTACCTGTGTGGGCCCACTTATACACAGATTGTTTTCAATAAATTCTGTAAATGTATTTTTTTCTTCCTTATGATTTTCTTCACATTTTCCCCTTATAGCTTCCTTAATTGGAAGACTACAGTATATAATACATATGACATACAAGGTTTCTGGTCAACAGTAGGCTATCAGTACTTATGTTTTGAGGGGGTCAAAAATTATATATGCATTTTTAACTGTGAAAAGGGTTGGTACCCCTACGCCCCACATTGTTTAAGGGCCAACTGTGCTAGAGAAAATGAAGAATGAGATAGTTTGCTGGAGACTCCAGCCGGTCAGGAGCAAGAGTCAAAGCTAGACTTTTCCACTGTGTCCCAGAGGCTCCCTGATGAAGACTGAATAGAATTGGGGGGGAGTAAAGTCATGATGGGGAACTGCAAATAAATGTGGTGATGTTTGTGAAGTAACGGAAAAAATGGAGGATGAAACAGAACCAACATTTCCAACATAAATAGTTTATTCCTATTGAATCTAGAAATAAGATTGTTTTGATAATCTCCCATTTAATTAGATGGTGGACTCACAAAAACTCGGGAGAACAGATGTGTCACCAACAATGAAAGTAGTTAGGGAAAGGAGTCACATAACCATGGCAGCCAGGGGGGCATCAGGCCCACACCCTGGAAAGAGGCTGTACTCTCAGAGTCAGTTAAAAACACTTCCAATTGGTGCACACCAAAATCATTTTTTAAAAATTGTTTATTGACTCTAGAGAGAGAGAGGAAGGGAGAGAGAGAGTGAGAACATCAATTTGTTATTCCACTTAGTTATGCATTCATTGGCTGATTCTTGCCCATGTTCTCCCGGGGGTCTAACCCAAAACCTTGGCATATGGGGATGATGCTGTAACCAACCGAGTCACCCAGCCAGAGCCCAAAACCTCTTTTGTATGTTAATTATCCAGGCAACAAGAGAAACATAGAAATACAGAGGAAAAAAGGAACGTTTGCACCCCAAACCCAGAGCCAAGACCTAGGAATGAGGATTTAAACTGTCGGATGAGATGGTGCGTAGAGATAAACAGAGGATTTCACAGGAAATTCACAGTGCACAGGGTAAGTGCCGTGTTTATGCACACGTACAGTGGCCAGATGAATGTCACCATTAACACTGTCCGGCAGATTGTGAAAGGGAGCAGAGCCACCTCCAGCCACCTGGTAGAAAGAAATATCTGGTGCCTCAGTTTCCACATCGATTGCAGATAAAGACACGGCACCTTCCTTGTGTTCATGTGTTCAGTGCATGCCTGTTGAAGGGTAAAAAGAAATAAAGTATGGCTAGTTTGATGTTTGAGCAAATCTGCTGTGGAACCAAAAAGAAGAGATCTTTTCACTTTGGCTGCCTGTCTATAGGGGGAAAACAAAAGCAAAAACAAGAAATCCTATGAGACTGTAGTTGTACTCATCCTTTAGAATTCGAGCACCATAGTAGACACTTAGAAACAATATAAAAGAGCTTTTAATTTAATTGGTTCACAGCAGCCAGCTGTCGATGAGGCCAACACTTGGATTCTAACCCTGCCGCAGGAAGTGCTTCCGCAGGAAGTGCTTCCGGTCAGCTTAGCCTTTGAGCTCAACCCCTGGCCCCATTTTAGAGCCACAGATAATGGAAGCTGCTGGGCCTGCATCCACCAGTTCACTCCCGGTCGGGGAGGGTGTTCCAGGTGGGGTCTTTGTGTGTGCTTCCTCACCTTTCTGCAAACATTCCATCTGACACCTAGCAGGTGCCCAGGAGAGTCATATGAAGTTGGAGTCCTGTCTTTATGAGAGTAAGCAAACCCCACGGTCTCTCTCCAGAGATGCCACCCAGAACATCTGCCCAGCCTGTCTCCCACTCTGCCTTGTGACACATGCCCCATTTCCGGTCTCATTGCCTCCTCAGGCCTTCACCCATCAAACCTTACTGACACTTCCATCTTGGCTTTTCAGAGGCCCTGTCTGCAAGGGTTCAAGGGCATGGCTCACAAGTGGTAGAGGCTGGAGGGGAAAACTGCAAGAGGATATGTGATCCTGTCCAGTCTCAGAAATTGACCCAAACAGAGTTCTGCTGAGTCAACACTATTATGTATGTCACACATGTAAATAATCTCCCTCAGTCTGTAACCCAGGCAGATCATGGCTTGTGATTCTACCACTCACAATAGTCCTGGAAGTTGTGTTTGAGGATTTGCACCATTTCCCACTGGTAGAGAGCCAGGACGGTCCACCTGACACCTCTTCATCTCAGCTCTTCCATATTCTCTCAGCTGTGTGTGTCTCTGTGTGCACACCAACAAACGGCTGGCACACTGACACACAGACTGTTACCATTTCATGCTTTTTGTGTTATCTGTCTTGGCATTGCATCCAGGAAGGAAGCTGCTTTGTGAACAGTTTATTACAGAATAAAGAGTGCTCACCTTTGTAGCCCTCATCAGAGGCCTAATGGGCATGCACAGTGTCTGGTATAATTGGGTTCTGTTGGCATGGATACCAGACCTCAGCTGTGTCAGCTAAACTTCCAGATTCCAGGGGCATCTGAGGGAAAGATGCAGGCAAGGATGGGGTGGCAGGTGGGGCAGATAAAAGTTGATCTTTTCTATTTTTCTAAGACTCTGCCGTGCTATGTAGGTGGGAAGATAACATCAACCACACCATTTTGAAATATTGTTTACTTTCAAATAATCAACCAATGATAGCAGCTGTAAAAGACTACAGTGACTACCTGGCAAGCTTGAAAACAACTTATCCACATGGAATACCCAGAGAAGAGTGGGGGATAGGTGTCAGAAGAATCCAGTTTTCATTTTGGTTCTTTCACAAGGTCTCCTGGGGATCTATTCTCAAACTCTAAGCCACATATAAAATGAGGAGATCAGAATGGCTCTCATCAAAGCCTCTTGTAGATTAGCCTCTGGGAGCTCTGAACATGCTGCCATCTCTGATTCAATAGACCATCCACCGAAAGTTGCTGTGGCCAGCACTTCTGATTGATGTTGCTTTATCCCGAGTTCAGAAGTGCTCAGGACCTGAAAATTCTCCCCTGTGCTTGGGCATCTATGGTTTTCCAAGAAGGTTGTGCTCCCACCTCACTGCTGTAAATGACATTGACTATTAGTCACCTCAGCTACCAGTCAGCATGGTTACTTCACTGCAGTGTCCAGTGTTGTAACAGGCAGTTAGGCAAGAGCAGAGTAGGAACAATAGGCCAGGTGCAGAGTCACTGGGGAGGAGATCCCCAGGTACCTAGCAATGGGCAGAGCCACAGGTCCATGCAGGACCACTTATTAATCCCTGGAAGATGACATCTAGGCCTCAGTTGTGTTTCAGCTCCAGGCCCAGAAAAGCAGCAAACCAGGCAGTGTGATGCCATGGCTGACATCAGGACCAGCTATATTGACCAAAGACCCCCTGTTGTGGCTCCAACCAATCAGTAGGGACCAAGACTGTCAGGATGGAGGGCCCAGTAAGGCTCTCTCTATATAGCAAACCTGTGCCTTTCCCTACCCACTTCTTTCTCTCAGGGTGCTGCCTCTCTCTCTCTCTCCTCTCCTCTCCTTTCTCTCTCTCTCCTAAGCTCCAAGGGCCCTTCTTTTCCTATAACTTGTTTCCTGAACCCATTTCTTCTATGGCTCATTTCTCCCTCTGTGACTTTCTAAATAAACTTTCCCATAATTTGACTCTTGGCTCTGAATTTTTCTCTTAGCCAGAACTCAGGAACAGAGGTTTTTGAACTGAGATTAACACCTGGTGCTCTTTTTCTGCCACTAACAGTTTGGCTATAAATCAGCTTGATACAGGTGTGGTAACATCCTATAATTTCAGGATGCTAATTAAATAAATCTTAAAACTTTCATGTTGCACCTATTCGCCTTACACAGAACAGTCCAGATGAGCAGGGAAGCCCATGAGAGCTGAAACAGGTCTTACCTGACATGACTGCAAGATGAACACACTAAGTTTTGTTTTAAATGAGAAAAAATACGGGTGACATTTGGAGAATGAAAATTGACTCATCTTTCTCAAGGTGAAAAAGTAAAAATAAAATAAAAAGATTAAAGGGTAACCAGCAAGTTTACAAAATACGTTTAATTGCACTTAAGTACTCTGTAAGGAGCTGAAGTTGCAAACTCTTATGCAACTCTTTTCGTTCAAACCACATAGTCCTATAAAACCATGACTTAAACATGGTTTTATAGGACTATGAAAAAAGACAAAGACTGCAACTCATCTACACATCCATTCCCACCCTCTAGTACAAACCAAAGAATGGATCCACTTTCGGGGGGGGTCAGTTTGAGGGTTGGCAGGAACCATGTGGAGGGCCATACTGGGAGAATCACGATCCTAAAAGGAAGTCTTTGTTTTTCTACCTGTCACTGAGGCATGTAAAGAATACATGAAATACGTGCCTTGTCTCAAAATCTCTCTTGCATAAAGATCTCCACTTGGTTCCAGAGTGGTTCATTTCAAATATATGTACAGGAAGCTTTGAGAGGCATAATTCTCCAGGCAACAATGCTCCAAAGAATGTGAGCTTCTTTTTAATTATTTCAAATTTCAAGACAAGAGAAGACAGTATGTAAAATGGATTTTATTTAACATACATGTATAAAATTAGTTGAACTGACAGATCTCGGTTGGGTAAAACTTTCTAAATATATAATATAAAACAGAAACTTGGTGACTATCATTTCTTATATGCTTCTTGTCTATAGCAAGAGTTTTGCCATTGGCATAAATCTGATATTGTGGCAAAACATTTTTTTCTATCTGATGGTAGTAGTATGAAATATAAAATGGAAAAATTTAAAAAATCTATCCTTATTGTGAAAAACTAATATTTTAAACAAAAAAGGCTTACATATTTGCTTGTCCCTAGAAATATATCTAGCAGAACAAAGGTCTGGAATATGCAATATACACACAATCACCATGTTATTTTATTTTTCAGGAACCAACCTTCTGGCAGGAAATGACACATGACTCCTCCCTGGCACCCCAACAAGAGTTACTCACACAAGGGTTTGGCTAAAGTCTGCTCTCCACCCTTGCAATGACAGGCCTTTGAGAGATTTAGGACCATAGCTACTTTCCTAATAAATCCCCTTCTCCTGTCTTGCCTCACACCCCCATCCTTCGTACTTTTGGACGAAGTGCAAATACTTTGAACTCCAAAAAGGTACTTCGATCCCTTTCTGAACTCCAAACCTCCACTGCCTGCTCAGAAGGCCCATACTTCTTGTTATACACAAGACTTGCACCACCTGACCGTGGCTTTCCTTCCCGATGTCTCCCATCAACCTTGCCCTGCTCTTCCCTCTGAACCACGTCCACTTGCCCAAATGCCCCATGCCAGCTTCATGCTTTCGGTCAACCAATAGTAGAGACACATTGGGTGGAGTTTTCATGCGTTTGTTCGTGCTGTTCCCATTGTGTAGAATGCTCTGCCCAATGAAAACCCCTTGAAAAACCTCTCATTTTTCTGAGTCTCAGTACCCAGTCCCTATAATTTTGGCCTAACCAGTTAAAACTAATCACTTTGTCTATGCTTTCAATTACAGGCAAAGACTATTGTGTAAAGTCTTAATACTCCTATGTCCGTGCAGCCATAAACTTTGATGAAAAGGTCGCTAAACCTGACTCTTGCCGTATTTCATCTTAGCCCCAGGAGTCCTATTTCGCCACACCTGGGTGTGGCAATGAGCAAAATAAGCAACAAAGAGCTGCCTCAAGAACTACTTGATTACTGTTTCACAGGTTACAAGTTTAGAGGAGATAAGTTTTGAAGCTTACAAAAGACTTGCAGGATCATAAGTATGAACCTTAACTGACGGTGCGGTCTTGCAATTCATTACAAGGCACATTCAGGGTTCAGAGTATCTCCCTCAACCACATCCAGGAGCATTTGCATTTTTTTCCCTACAAACTTCCTTTTCCCTTAAGTTCGACAAATTCTAGTGTTGTGGAATGCTTAGTAAATAAAACCTTCCTCCAGTTCTCTAACCCTAAGTAGTGAAACAACACATCAGTATGATGAGACTACCTCTGTTTCTCAGCTTAATGCTGGCATTGCCTCCTTCACAGGGACTTCGCTGACAATTTAATGTCTTCTTCCCATAACACTGCACACACTTTAATATGGGTAGTTAAAAATGATTAATTCTAGAGCATGCACTTGAAAGCAGTATATGAACCTGGCATATAGTAAGCACTCAAATGAATGATGAGTTGAATCTTGTTTTAAGGATATGAAGTGAGTGAGGACTAATTATGTCCATTCCAATCTTAAGTCTTTAATTCCCTTAAGTAAGGGAATTAAATGCCAATTCCCTTGGCATTTAATGAGGAATTATCTTTGAACACAGATTTAATATCAGACAGTGGTTTTTGCTACCTGCAATACTACAGTCTGCAAAAAGGTGTTAATTCTTTATGAGGATACCATATTTTTTAAAAATAAATTTAAATAATTGCTACAAGGGTAATATACATAAGTGAAAAAAACACGAATACAATGGATTTCTCGTTGTGGTTGCTTTTATACATACATAATTAAAATAATTGTAAGTGGTTGGAATAGGCCCATAGAACAACTTCATTGTGTGGTGTTGCCACTTCATGTTTTAATTATTTAAAATACTGAAATGATTAAACACAAAATTAAACAGCTGAATTTGTCGTGGGTAAATGAGTAGAGATAAAATATCAGTTACTAAAATCTGCTCTTAAACTTGTTCTGGTCAGACCCCTGAGGGATCAGTCCCCCTTGTACCACTCATCATGTGACTTCTTATTTTGTGACCTTGGTAGTTTATAAAGTAGTTCTAATACTCGAAAGGCAAGTCTTGCTTGTGGCTTCATCTTAGAACTTGGTAATTTTGGAAAAGAACTCGAGTGCTTGCTTTCATACCACTTCCTCTCACCTCTAATATCCAAACAACCTCGGGATGATCAACTTACACATCTAGAGGTACAGAGATGCTTTAAAAATTATTTCTAAGAGTTATTTCCTTTGGTTCTTACTTGGCAATTAAACTGGAGAAAACTGATTAAAAAGCAAATCTGAGGACTTTTTAAATTATGCAGTACATTAAGTACAGTAAGTGCTTTAAAAGATAAACCATCCAATGTCATATATACAAGTTACATCACAGGCAAAAGCATAAGAAAACAAGCTAAACTTGCTGTAACATTGACCTCTACAAATGCTCTGTAGTAACCACATTGGTATGATAAGAAAACAGTCAAGAACATACTTCATTTGTCTCTAATCAGTATGTAGATATCTGTATATATAATTGGTACATATAAATTCCAAGTATCCACATTGTTTCAATCTTATATCCATTTACCTCTCAAAAGTTTTTAAAGTATCCACAGAGACACATAATGGAAAAAAAAAGGATGCCAGGCTTCCTATTAGGGGAAGTTATATTAAATTGTTTCACTGATGTTACAGTAGATATTTCTGTGGGAAAATACATGTTTTTGTAGTTCTGGTCAGTTACTTTATCAGTAAACCTTAACTTCGTGTAACAAAATATTCTTGACTCTTTGGGAATTAAAATACATGAAAAAAAGATTGAGAATTTTTTCTTGACCAATCATCAAACATGTTTTCATCTGAACAAGGGAAATTCTCTCAGTTTAATATAAGTTTTTCAATGAAACAGGGTAAATTTACAATAAAGTTGGTGATCTCATTCAGTAAGTCTTCTGATCTTCAGATTCAGGCCTAACAGAGAAGAGCAACGATTACAGGAGAAAAAAAGTAACTCAAATAATCTCCTGTGGCCATCGTCTTAGAGGCTGGTTTTCTTGTAATGATGCATTCTATCACAGGTTTTCTGATTTCCGAGATCTACACAGTGTTTCAAAATGGAACTGCTGGAGGAAGATGGGGGAAGCCTTTGTTCTTGGGCTTACACAGTAAGCACTTTGTGTGATTCTTAATCACATTTTTATCCAGAACACAGTGCTTCAGTTCACATGTTTCTCGACGATGCTTGTACTGACTTGTGCTCTATAAATATAAACATGTTTACGCACAGAATATACACACTGACATGGGGATGTGCAGTTAGCCAAGCAGCCATAAGCAGAATGGAATAAAAATTGCAGGAAGAGTGGTGTACGATGCCAAGCCCAGACAGATTATAGATGCCAGTCCCAAGAGTGCCGAAGCAAGAACACTTCTCTCATCACGAATAATTATCTTCAAAATCTCACAGAACTGGAAAATAAAATTTAAGAATGTCAGAAAAGGTGGCTAAGCCTAAGAATCACACATACCAAATAATAAAGCACACTTTTCCCAGCTACCAGAAGAACTGGGATTTCTCTTATGATTTATGAAAGAATTTAGATGTCAATAGTTTAGTTTCTTGATTCCACATCCCATAACAGCTATAGCTGAAATGACACCTTCGGTAACTGAGTTAATAATGGTGGTTGCCTTTGTGAATGCATACCTTTTATAGAAAACTGCAGAGACTATAACCACATAAAAGTTCAGGGTTAAATGTTAAAAGCATTAAACTGCCAATCGATAACAATATATTCTAAAATTAGATGAGCAAAGAGATCTCTAATGTCAAGCAAATAAATTGTCCATTACTATTGGTGAATGCAACTCCTCCAATGAACCATTCTAAAATTTGGTGATATAATGATAACTTTTTAATTTCCTCTTTAAAAATATTTTTCATATAAATCTCCATATTTAAAGGCGTAGAAAATATAATTTATTGCCATATCCCATTCCCTGCCTAAATAAATTAAACAAGTTTACAAATCAATTATGAGATATATAATTGGCTGCTGAAAAGATAAATATGGTCTTTCATCCTAAAATGTGCATTTTTCTAGTATGTGCAATTTTTTTCCTTAGGAAACTCATTTTACTCAGAACTGATGGCCTACGTGTCAGCCCAAGATCTACCTCTTATCAGTTAGTTGTGTGACCTCAAGTCAATCACTTAATCTGTCCAGGCTATGCTCTTCCTCCGTGGGCACTAAGGCTGCTGTGAGACTCGATAGAGCCTTTTATGCTAACGTACTCTGCAGTTTTCTTCGTGCTGTATAAATGGGAGGTGTTAGGGGGATTATCATTCATGCTGCACCTGCCAAAAGTCATGGCCACCTTATCACTGTCAAAACAGAATTTAGCAATTAGCTGATATTTTCATGTAAGGATTGCTGCTCACTAATTTTAAGCTTCTTTTCTAGACATGACATTGTATATGATTTTTAGGTTCTCTTACAGTGGCCTACATAGTACTAGACTAGGTTTTCAAATTCTTAACAGATACCATGTTGCAACAAATTGGAATTTTGCACTCTGTCTTGATTCTAAGATCATCTCCATCTATACTTTTACACAATAGCTAAACAAATAGCAGGTTGGTCTCTTTTTTAAGGTCAAACATACATCGTATTTTGTATCCTCTTACTAAACTAACAAGACATTGAGTAACAAATACACAATCTTTAATTGGTAATGATGAAATTGAATAAAGTTTTAGAACTGTGAGAAAAGTTGCTCAGCAAATAATGGAAAAATATACATTCAGGTCAATGAGGATGTTGTCTTGATATAGTTATACTTGTCTTTCCTTTTCCCAATAATTCTTAATTAAGGCAGATAAAATTGCTGTAGACTCTTTTCCCCCAAAGGGTATTTTGCCAAACAGCACCTCACTGTTAATGTCCTACTCTTGTTCCCTTGGCCGTCAGCCCAGGAGGCATCTTTTAGTGGTGGTGCTCAGCCCCTACTAAATGTCTGGCATTGTCTCCCATGGCTAGGTGTTCAGAAGGCTATAGGGACACTCTTCGAGTATCAAACCCCAGATATTAAAACGGGTATTTGCATTCATTTTTGGCAATGAAAAGCAATTTCATCAAAGTAAAACAAAGCCAAAAACATAGTGGAAAAAGCATAAGGAATCAGTTACTAAGGAAAGAGTTTTATACATTTTATGAAACACTGAAATAGGGTTAGGGTGGGGCAAAAATAGGTTTACAGTTGTGAGTGCATGAAAGAGTTTATTCTCGTATTATTATTTATCAGTTATTGTATTATTTTCCATACAACAACTGTAAGCCCAGTTTTGCCCACCTTGTAAAAAAAAAACCTTAATTTTTTTTATTTCTAAGCTTGTAAAAGAAAAAGAAAGAAAGAAAGAGATCATTGCTACAAAGAAGACTCTCTTCCAGTTCATTTTCAAAGTAGTTGCAGTGTTTTCATGAGGAAAAGTGCTCTTGAAAGTTTTTATAAACTCAAATTTAAGAGACAACTTTGCAACTCTAGTGCTGAGCTGGCTAGGGTTATACATATGAAGAGTTCAAACATCAGACCCAGAACCAGGTAATTCCTCCCCGTTTCTGAAAAGCAGAAGCCAGTCCTCCTTCAGCACTGAAGCCCTGCTTCTCACAGAACACGCTCAAAAACAGTCCCGGGAAATGGAAAAATTGGGATGGGGTTTCATTTTCCCCGGGGAAATCTACTCTGTGGCCAAACTGTTTGTTAGGCCATTGAACATGAAGACAAAAACTCAAGTTTCACAAGAGGTGCTATGCAGCAACAGCAGTTAAAATCCTTGTCTACTTCTTTAAAACCCTACAAAGCTTCCAAAGATAAAAAGCTACTCCAACTAGTTACTTATGCAGAATAAATATTTTACTCCCTTAAAAGAGCACTCTGTTTATATTGTTTTTCTGTAGATATATATAACAGAGCTATACATGTTCCACTCCTAATTAACAGATAGAAATACTGTTTTCCTTAGAGAAATGATTTGCTTGGTTTCTAAGTAAATCTGATATGTTTCCTTTTGAACATTTTTGGAACTCGTGTTTGTAAATGTGGTAAAGCTCTTTTCTAAACAGGTCTGGACTGGAGCTGTGATTCTTGACTCACAGTACAGTGCTCTAACTGTATTTTGTTACTTACAAAAGCATTCCTAGATTGAATTTGTTGTGGCTCTATAAATAATCACAAGGAGTTTCATATATCAATATATAAAAGCATTATACTTTGATGCTGTGCCACAGAGGAATGATTTCCCCAATAGATTAAAATATGAAGCAATTAAAAAATCAGTTACATGGAATCATACACTTGGTCCCCCCCCCAAAAAAAAACAACAACCCTAAACATGAAGAGTCAAACATGAAGTTCATTCTGTGATTACCTAGGCTTCCAATGTTAAGAGTGAATATTAACAATAGCTCTTTAACAACTGCAGGGCAGGTTGAGAAAGCTACTAACTGCAAATGAACTTGACAGTTAAGAGGTTTTGAACTAAAAATCCATTTCTCCCCCTTTGGACTTGTGTCTATCTTAAATTCTTTTCTTTCTTTCTTTCTTTCTTTCTTTCTTTCTTTCTTTCTTTCTTTCTTTTCTTTCTTTCTTTCTTTCTTTCTTTCTTTCCTCTCTCTCTCTCTCTTTCTTCTTTTTTTTTTTTTAACAGCACACATTAAAATTACCTTCTGACAGCTAATGGCTCTTCTTGCAAATCAACTGTTTTTGATCTCTGCGGAATCCATAACCAACCTAATCCGCCTTTGTGGCTAATGGTAAAGGATGCTAACAATGAGGGAATCTGTAGGTGCAGATTAAAGACACAGAAAACACAGAAAAATTCAAAATACCCAGTAAAAGACATGTCTGAAGCCCAGATGTGTCTGGAAGTAAGAGATCTACCAAGGAGGTCTTCTTACTGGGAATTTTGATGCTTCATATGAAGCAAAGGGAATTAACTCACTCTCTGCAGCTTACAGAGGAAGACCCAGCAAAACATTTTGTACGCGGTGTTATGGATTAAATATAAACTGGACACCTTCCTTCCAATTGCAATTCTTGGGGAAAGTTGCAATCACACGGCAGATGCGGTCACTTCAACTCCTATGGGTGGACACCCTGACTGCTTGGGCAGCAATAACGGGGCAGCTCTCTCCAAACAGCGGGTAGCGTTACTGCACCGCCCCCACCCCCCTAACCGCGTGCCTTCGGAGGTGACCTGCAAAGCAGGCACATCGCCACTGATTTCGTCCGCCTTAGGAACACCCGAGCTTTCTTTACGCAATCTATAATTCAGTGCCTGATCCCGGAGGAGACAAACGGTTAGGGATGGGAGGGCCGGCCCCGCAGACACACGGGCGAGTCACACTCCGTACCTTGTCTACCTGGGGGCTGACCGCGGTGTCGAACCTGCAGTAAGTCACGAAGTGCTCGCAGTTGTTCCACAGCAGGCTGTAGGTAGTGTTGCCCAGCATCTTCTCCGCCCTTTGTGCCACCTCCTCGTTGAGCAGCGGCTTCTTCTTGAGGTACTTGTCCAGGTGATTGACCAAGATTTTGGCTCCGTAGGCAAAGTCATCCACTGTGTCCACGCGGATGCTGGCCACCTTGCCAAGAACGCCCAGGATGAGACGCTTGTTGGACACCACGTTTTTCGTGAGCTCCTTATCGTCCGTCAGGGCCAACAGGACGTCGGGCATCAGGTGGGCGACCCGGTTGTTGCCCAGATAGATGCCATAGTGGGTCAGGTGGGTCCGGGGAACCTCCAGGATGTCACCGCGGTGGAAGGAGTTGATGTCATGCAAACTGCTCCCTGCCTTGTCTTCATCCGGGGCGCCCGAACTGAAGAGTTTGCAGTTGTAGATGAGGAGCAACTTCTCCAGCAGTAGGGACACCGCCTCCAGCATCGGGTTCTTCATCCTGCTGGGAAACGAGAGTCTTGGGGGGACTGGCTCCGCTGCCGCTCTGGCCGTGCCAGGCCAGGTGAGCCCGCCAGACAGGGGCGCTGCGCTGCAGCTCACCCGCAGGCCCAACTCCGCGGGGCACAGGGGCTGCCTGGGAGAGAGGGAGAGGAAAGGGGAGAGGGAGAAGCCTAGAGCCTGGCGTGGTCGCACCTCACTGGGGACGGGGGGGGGCACTGGCGACGGCTGGCCCTGGGGACGAGACCAGCGCTGCGAGCAGCAGAAGAAGCGCACCTGGACTCCTCGTGTGCCTGGGCGCAGGGCAGCGCGCGAAGCTCCAGGGCGAGGGCGTCTCCGAGACCTTTTATCACCGGCCAGAGGGCGGGGCCGACTGCCGTCACAGACCCGGCCACACCGCTGATTGGGCTCCGGCGCCTCCACCGCTCCGGGTGAGGGGCGCGCGGAACCGAAACTTGGGGAGAAGGGGCTAGGTAGCCCCCGGGTTCTCGGGACTCCTTCCACACGGGCTCCCTTCTTGCACTCACGAGGTAAGCAATTCAGCTTTTAAGCGACCATTTTTTGAACCGTAGAGGCGAGGCGTGGCCGCGCCAGAGGTTCTGCACCTGCCCGGACCAGGGCGGGTTCCCTGTACTTCGGAAAAGGTGTCTGTGGAAAGCCCGTTCGGGCGAGATTTAGGTCCCTGTGAAGGGTTGGAGAGCCGGAGACCTCAGTGAGCCATTTTCATTTATTCTGCGAAGTGTGCGTCCCTTGAAAGCCTGCGGATTCCTTCCTAAACTCCGGAGGGCCACAGCCCACACGCCTTGGTTCTCCGCTTTGAATGACACGAATGCCCTTGGAGGCGCGTGGGTTGGGTAGCAACCGGCAAGTCCAGAGACAAGTTCCGCGCGCGCGTGATCAGAACCCTGGGCGCGTCCACGCTCCGAGACTCCAATGACCGTTGGGCGTGCGGCTCCCAACGGTTGGCGTGAAAAAACGGCGAAGTCCCTAACGGTTTCCTGGAAAGCCAGATTTATGTCAAATTCATTTCTCCAGCTGCAGGGTTACAAGTGGACCTCGCTTCGTTTCATCCTCCCAAACTTTGCTGCTTTCTTTTAAAGTACCAGGGTCCAGAGGTGGCCAAGGAAGGAAAAAGCGTTAAGTCCCTTGCGGAGCGCCTGCACCAGGACCCAGGAGCATCGAGAGGCTGAGGTCAAAGAGCAGCCGGCCCGCGGTGTCCCCGTCCTGCGCCGAGTTCCGTGATAATTAATGCATTGTGCCAGCGACTTGCAACCTTTTCTTTAATCTCGTGGCGCACATAATTACAAAATTTCAAGAAATGGGTTTTTTTTTTTTTGCGGATGTGAAACTCCCCCCATAATAGGTATAATTTTGATTTATTTTCAGAGAATGGTTTTTCTTGTGTCGGCCGTTGCCGTTTTTTTACAATTTGACAGTCGAAAAGAGGGGAGTGACCTTGAATAAACAATTAGGAATTGTATGTTTAAAAAATTCCTGGAGCACACCGGTTGGAAATCGCTGCCTTATGCACATGGATACGTAGTTCTCTCCGAAAAAGACCACAGTAGAAAACCTCCTCCGGGTCCATAAAGCTGGGCAGTTCGAGGCCGGTAGGTTTCACCGGCGGGCAGGTCCTCCGCCCGCCCGGGAAGGGGGCTTGCTGCCAGTGATGGGCGCAGGCGCGCTCGTCTCACCTGGAAGATGGAGGGGACCCTGGCGACCCTGCGGGGAGGAGGCCCGGCCTTTTCCCCACACCCGGTCTGCCGTCAGCCCTCTGTCCCAGCCGTCCCGTCGGCCGATGTTCATTTCTCATACGACCCCCAATCACATTATAGTCCCAGCAAAGATAAAAAGATTCCATTTCCCGCTAATGAATCAACAGAAAAAGGCGGAGAAGAGGAGAGAGCCAGTGAACGTGGACATTTAAAACCATCTATTTCCCCAGCCTCCTCCCCACCTACCTAAATATTTTAAAGTAAAGCGCGGAGCTATCAAGTCCTGAAACTAATCAAACCCCTCTGCACGTGAGTGCTCGTTAACCTCCAGGAGCACACGGGCTTAGCTGCAGGGTTTTAAATCGGGGGGGGGGGGGGGGGGGGGGGATGTTAAGTCTGATCAAGACCTAGGCGGAAGCGGCACTGAGGGCCCCACGTCGCACTCTTGGGCCCTGGACTCGACTGTGGGCTCCAGCTTAGAGAAAGCGCCCAGACCGGAGCCTCCAGTGTCAAGAGCCAAAAGGCCCTGACAGACCAAAGGAGACTTGGTAACTAGCAATTTTCGTCTTTGGTAGTCACTACTAACGGGTTTATAATGCCAGCAACTGTTACCACCCTGGGACTCTGTAGGAGGCTAACGCATGGAGAACTGACTGCCTCAAAGAATCAACAGAAGGCTCTTTTAGGGCAAAAAAAAAAAAACATTGAGAGATCACCTAAAGGCCCTTAGCAGCCGCATCTAAAGGGCGATTTGTGGGAGGAGGGCAGTGCCAAGGTGATTTGCCTTTGATTTTCCTTTCTTTCGCCGTGGGGTTTAATGTTGTTGCCACCGACTTTGGAAAAAGAGGCACTTAAAGAAGAAAAGAGTCCTGGCTGGTATGGCTCAGTGGACTGAGCACCAGCCGGCCAACCAAAGGGTCCGGTGTCAGACTCCCGGTCAGGGCACGGGCCTGGGGTGCAGACCAGGTCCCCTCTCCCCATCAATGTCTCTCTAGCACACCGATATCTGATGTCTCTCTCCCCCTGCCCCCTGCCCAATGGAAACAAATAAAATCTTTAAAAATATAAGGAAAAAAAGCAGGTGAAATCAGTATGGGGCACGAACCCTTATAGGTTACACAAGATACAGACATTCTGCTGTCTTTGGAGATGAGTCAGGAAGCAGGGGTGTCCACAGGTTCTTGAAAGTTATTTTTGTCTCTCATAACTCCTGATTTTTAAGCCAAAATGTTATGCCATTAAAAAATCTTTTTTTTTTTTTTCAATGAGGCTGCTCTCCCCTGCAGGAAATGAGGCTTAGGGTAACCCAAAGGAGGCAGCCCAACATCATTTGTCTTCTTTGGAACCTCTTAAGTGGGGAGGATTTGTGAAGATTATGCTACTTTTTAATCGAAAATACCGCGTCAGAGGAGCGAGTGTTGCCTCTGCTGATTGTGTCCCTTCCCCTGTTCTTCGACAAACATTGTGACCTTGCAAAAGGCAAATTCTCAACGTTCTTTGAGTTGTATATATTTCTGTAGCTGAAGGTACTTTTCGATGGGTCTCTAAGAGAACACTTCATTAAAATGTTTATACACAAAGAGGCTCACACCCCCACTAATAATTTCCCGTGGGCACCAACTTTAGCTAAAACCATGGGAAGACAATTGCTGTTAGAAGGAAATGCCCAAGAGAAATCTAACATTAGAAAGTTCTTCCTAAACCAGAACTTTTCATTTGGAAAGAGGAGACTCCCCCTGGTTGCTAAAAAGACCTCTCATTTCCAAAACTGTGTGAAAGGCTATTTGTTCAGTTCAACAAGTTTTGATGTGCGGAGCTTTAAATGCACACACACGGCTTTCCAGGTCTCCAGGTCTCCAGGTCTGCTGATTCTGAAAAGAGCTGGGGCTGTCCTAGTCCACACATGCTGGGCCCTGAAAAGTCGACTCTCACTTAGGCCACCGCTTCCCTGGCATCTCAACAGTATCCTGATCATGCTTCGGGCGCTGGCTCTGGCCCTCCCAGCTGCAGAAACTCAGCCTGGGGGCATTGCTCCCTGGTCAGGTGGTCTCTGCCCAAAGGAGATTGAAACTGGGGCACTCAGAGCCCACTTAACTTCTGGGCTTCCCCACCCCAGGGCATCGGTCCCAGGGTCTCAAGGACAAGATGCAGAGTCCAATCCAGACTTCTTTTTAAAGATTTTTAAAAATTCATTTACTTTAGAGACAGGGGAAGGGAGGGAGAAAGGGAGAGAAACACTGACTTATGAGAGAGACATTGATTGGTTGCCTCTCGCCTTCCACTGGGGACCTGGCCTGCAACCCAGGCATGTGCCTTGACTGGGAACTGAACAGGCGACCTTTTGGTTCCCAGGCACTCAGTCCACTGAGCCACATCAGGTAGGGCCCTAGCAAGAGACTTTTTACCTCTGTAGTCTCCCTGTTCCTGGGAAGAGGCTTTGAAGTAGAGGGTATGACCGTAATATTGTGAGCCTCCTGCGTGCTAATCACTCAACAGGGTAGTTTCTCACTCAATCCTCATAACCCATGAAGCATCATCTCCATTCTACACAGAAGGGAACTGAGGCTTATAACTTTGTTTCTGCACCGTGTCAGTGCAGATCACCACTCAAGCCCAGCTTTCCTGTCCCCTGACCTGCCATCAATTCAGATACATCATCTGTTCACTGACTGAGTACCTGCTGTACAGCAGGAGCCCAATCCTGAAAGTTCAGTGAGATCCCAAACCCTAAACATGGATCCCACACCTTTTCAGACTTCATTTCGCTGCTTCTCAAATGCCAATGGGTCTGATTTTTAACATCAGTTATTTTACTGCAATAGAAAGGTCTGGTTTAGTTAACAGAATACCCTCACCAGGAAATCCCCAGCACTTGAGTCACCAATAGTTCTACACTGTCCTCAGTTAGACACAGGAATCTGGGGCACCTCCATGTACTGCCCAAGGGCAAAGAGTCAGAAGCGGAACCCAGGCTGTGTCCCAGAAGTCTTACCTGTTAAGACCTTTTTCCCCTGGGTCCTAATGCTGATCGATTTGCTGTTCTAAAGTTATGTTTTTACATTATTGCCCTCCTTTAAGATGATTTTGTTGTTGTTCTTAGATTTTTTTGATTATTAAATCAGTGAGCATATAACAATAATTTTTAGTGTTTTCCTTTAATTCATTTTTTTCTTCAGTTCGTTTACATACATTCAAGTCCTGCCCCAGGGGCACAAGCAGAAGCCAAAACTATGTAACTCTAAGGAGGTAGGGGGGATAAAGACTTTTGTGAAGTTCCGGCTGCCTGAAGAGGAAAAAGGAGAGACTCCTTTTCATGGAGCCGCCTAACTCAGAGCTGCCTGGAGTGTTAGGCTAACAGGAATCAATTACCTCCTGGAAGGAAGATTTCCCCCACTTCCTGGTTGGCTAGCACCTTATTTCAAGGGCCTCAATCCTGCCTATTGTCTTTAGAAAGACTGAAGGCTGCAGCTACAGCCAGGCAGGAGCTACAGTAGCTGGGGGATTTTTTTCCCCTCCCAGTAAAGTAAAAACACTGGGCAAGATTTAATACTATGAAAAATCATGACCTAAATGAATATAGCTTACTATATG